AGGACTTATTATTGGTTAGTGTGGATAAACCCACCTTCCATAAACAACAAATATTTGCCACCCGCTAGTTATTTTGTTTTTGTCTCTGTAAATGGACGACTTCCTTACAGCTTGTACTAATAATCTAAATTCAGTTTATATCAACATGCATTTTTATAAAGGTATCTTCACTCTGCAGGGCTCCGTAACAAAGCCACAAGCATGTAAATAACATCTAATTATTAAAGCTGGAGACTGTAATTAAATCTATGAGTAAAGCACAAAGCCAAATATTAGTTTGGGACGGGGATGTGCCATGGGATTAGGCAAAAGGGGGAATGACGCATCGCAGTGCACTGAAATCCACTAACATTTGTCTACTGTTAGCAGGGTATACATTCACCTGTACAGTTTTCAGCAAAAAAAATGCATTGCATATGTGCATCACATAGTAACAGGATTGGGTACTTGTTTAGCCTGTCATACAGGAGCCTTTAGTTGTCCTTGAAAAATGTATGGGATTAAAGGACTTCTATGGTGAACAATGTTGCATTCTCATAACTGCATAAGGAAATGCATCTAATTGTAGTTTTATATATATCAAAAAGTCAGCCCCCTCAAAACTGATCTTTAAGATACTGGTAGATGCTGATGTGATGTTAAACCCAAAAATGGTGTATTTTGCTCTTTACCAAACCTTAAATGTGATGGCTGCATTCATTTACATTTTTTAGACTTTTTTTCTTACCAGATGCTCACTTCCTGGCAGATGGTGTGCCGTTAAGTTTCAGCGGTAGACTATTCCTTGGCATCCTCATACTCAATGCAGGGATGATAGTGTCACCAGATCATATTACAGAATAATCTGCCAGGACAGGTCTTGCAGCAGGTAGGTACAATAAAACTGTTTTTTTCTGGTCCCCTAGATGTAAATGAACCTTTAAAGTGGTTCTAAAACTAAAACATTTTTTATCTTAATGCATCCCCTACATTAAAGTAAAAAAAATTTCACAACTTGCTGTGCTGCCCCACACTGTTAAATACTTACCTGAGTCCTTAATCAATCTGGCTCTGTACATGGCTTCGTCTCTTTGCTCCTCTCTACCTCTACTCACAGAGACTTAGGCAGCAGAGGGAGCCATTGGCTCCTGCTGCTGGCAATTAAATTCTGTCAGGAAGGAATGAGGGGCGAGGTTTGAGCTAAGGCACACAGCCTGGTTTAGGATCGAATCCGCATGTCTGCCCACACAACAAGCAGTTTGTTTGGAGCCAGATGGGGAAGAGAAGGAGCAGACAGTGTCAGCGGGGACTCCTGAAGAGGAGGTTCGGGGCACAGAGCAGGTAAGTGTAAGATGTTTACTATTTTAATTTTTCAAAAATTTCCTTTAGAAAAGCTTTAACTTACTGGTAGATGCACTTACTGGTTGATTTAAACCCAAAAATGGATTATATTGCAGTTTACCAGCTGCATTCATTCTCTTTTTTTTAGGCTTTTTTCTTTAGTTGATCCTGCTTCCCAACAGATGGTCCACCCTTATTTTCCAGCTACTGCATTGATCTTGATGATGCCAAGGGCATCTGACTACCAAAACATAGGGAAGAAGAGGCTGCCGAGGCCGATCTTGCAGCACGGAGGAGCAGGTAGGTAAAACTGCATTTCCTGATCCTCTAGGTGTAAAAGAGCATTTAATCCTTGCAGTACAGAGGCCCCCCCACTGAAAAGAGTGGATTCTTACTTTCCCTGGAGTTCAGCTTTAAAACTGGAAGAAATCTCTTTCTTGAAGTATTCAGCCTCCATCAATAACTTAAAGATCACTTTGGATGGACTGATCCTAAAATAATTTTTTTTTTCATTACTGATCAGCTTCCAAAAGAGTCTCAGCATAGGCATACTGGATAGTATTCCAGATACTGGCATATAAAGTCCTTCAGCAAAGAACAAATGTTTATGAGAAAAGCTGTGGTCAGTCTGTGTTTCCTACATAACATCTCAATGGTCCTGATGCTGCAGGCACTGGAGTGCTTTGGGGAATACCATTGTTATATTGTTTATATAGATACAGTGCATTTATTGTGATGGAGCATCCTGCTTATACATGTACTGCTTGAATGTAATAAAGGAAAGTGAGGCAAGTTTTCAGCATGTAAATGGTAATATTCATGTTTAATGCAGCTTCCAAAAGGTCAAAGTTACAACCCCAGTTCTAAAAGTGCATTAACATAATCAGTAGGACAAAGTGGTTGTAGTGCAAAAATAAAGGAATAACCATGACAAAGAAAGACCGTGTACTTATTCTGTATATATTATCCTAACTGATCAATTTATTTTTTTAATTGTTAGGACTACTTTTTTAAAATTATTTAGTAAGGTAAATTAGAAATATCGCATGCCAAAATTATGTATGCCCATTTTTGACCAGTAGGCTGTTTCTTGGATTTCTTTTTTGTTTGTATTGGTGTATTTAGGAGCCATAGGAGCAATTTCTGTTTTTCAGCTGCAGCAAAGGTAGCAGCTTTGTTAGACTGGGTGGAGGTGGAAAAAGAAGAGGCAAAGGCATTGGATTTGCCCAATGATCACTAACTAAGAACAAAGAGGGAAGTTTTGGATCATATAGAATGACCTCTGAGAACATGAAGAGAAATTCTTTAGTTACTCCCAGATGTTCTAAGTATTCTAGCTTTTAGCACCAATAGGTGTTTTCTTCTAACCCTACCATAATCAGGTAATATACATGCATAGGTATGCAAGTAAAGGTTCCATAATATTGCTAAAATTCCAAAATTTTATAAAAAAAAAAAAAGTTACCACAAGCCAAAAAATAGCAACCACAAATCAAAAATGGTGGTATGTTGACTGAGACAGTAGGGGGCCATTATTTTCTGCTCACATCTTCTATTTGGAGCCATCTGTGGAACAAGAGAGTAAATGGAAAAGGGGAATATGTCTGGTAGAGTTATAAATTATGTGAAGCTAAAGTTGTAGAGGGAGTGATGAGAGAAGAGACTAGGAGGATGGGAAGAGGCCTCGTGCTCCCTGGCTTGTATATACTTGTCCTATGTTTATGCCATGGATCTACTTCTGTTTTCTTGGCTTTGTTAGGTAGCGATTAAAATTGTTCATCAAGGCTTAAATTAGTTATTTTGATGATATCAATTGCAGAACATGGAGGCTTCTTCCCTCCAAAAGCTTCTTTACTCTAGATGCTGATCCGTAAATTACAAAACCCAGAGAAAACCAATAGACTAGTTTGCCCTGCTCTTAACTGAACTTCTGAAGATCCTCATTCTGCATTTGTGAGAATTCTTACTGTCTTTGCCTAATCTTACCCAGTGGCAGGGTCTCGCATAATAAACAAAAATCTAATTCTAACTTCTGTTTTCTTTTTAGGTACCTTGTTACTGGCCAGTCTTTTTTGCTAATTCGCACGCACTATGAATTTATGGTTGGGAGGTCAATATAAGCCACATAGTGTGTGATCCTGATTTGGGATGTGGTGACAAATTTGGTGATGATGAAGAAGATAACAAAGGAATAATGGTCCAACAGTGTTCATTTTTTCCAGAAAAAATTTAATTTCCCATTTGTGTGGGAGCAATTGATGGGAAACATCATAAAGTTAGTAGCTAGTGGGAACAAACACTTTGATCACAGGAAGTATTTTTTCTTTTGTTTTATTAGCCATGGATGATGCAAAATATCGCTTCACCAACATAGACATTGGGAAGTTGACTAACTAAAACTACAGAGTGAAAAATCTGGTGCTGTTGTGCATGGTAGTCAGTCAGCTTCTAACTTCAACTTGTTCAATTAAGCATTGAAAATAAAACCTGGAAGCTGATTGGTTTCTATGCAGAGCTGCACTAGATTGTTTTAGTAATTCAACCCCTGCATCCTACCGGAGCTGCTCAGACTCCAACCGCCTAATGTGTTTGTGAGGGATGAGGCCTTTTTCCCTGGTGAGCACATATTAGGGCCTCATTCCAGAAGCTTACTAGATGTAGAGAGGCATGTATTCAATTATTGCCTTACCAGGACACAAAGAGTATGCTTTCGAAATCCTTTCTAATAGTGTTTGTTGTACAACTCAATAATCCTAAGCATGGAAAGTACAATAACTGAAGATAATGTGACAAATTGCATTTGTGTACAGTGTTGCATGACCATGCAACTGCTCAGTTAAAGTAGCGCAGCACTGAAAAGCATAAAATGGAGGGGGTAGAATCTTTCGGAGCTTAAATGGATAACTTTGCCAGACAACATAGTGACTTCCTTTTTGAAGATTCCGTGAGCCACAACAAGGATATAGTGCAATGCATTGAAGGCTGGGGCAGTAGAAGTGGTGAAGTATTAGTTTGCATTCTATTTTATCTCTTTCTCTCCCACAGATCAGATCCCATGGCAACTTGATGGCCTTGATTAATTTGAAATAAATATGCCTTCTTTGTTATTTTTTGTTCTTTGGTTCATAAACATATATTATCAAACCAATAATATTTATCTGTATTTCTTTTCATTATTTAGGGGCATATAAGGCAGTGACCTTGACTTCACCTATGAATTAATCTTCCATGCATGTGTTTTATATGACAGTGATTGAACCAACGCCAGTGAACCCTTGATGAAAGCCACATTTTATTGTTTTATTGAATGAATTTATTTTTCAAAACCATTTTCAATTAAACTACTTTGATGACAAATGCTGGCTTTGTACCTTTCAATAATATTTGCAGGGCTTCAAGCCAACACTTTTTTTCACAACTACATACAAATGACATTTGTGTAAAATTTTCTGAAACATGAAAAAACTCAGTCCAACAAATTAGCTTTAGATAATAAAAAAAAATAATTATATATATTTTTTATATATATATATATATATATATATATATATATATATATATATATGTATACTGTATACACTATATTGCCAAAAGTATTGGAACACCCCCCTCCAAATCATTGGATTTAGGTGTTCCACTCATCTCCATGGCCACAGGTGTATAGAATCAAGCACCTTGGCATGCAGACAGCTTCTATAAACATTTGTGAAAGAATGGGCTCAGGAGCTCAGTGAATTCAAGTGTGGTACCATGATAGTTTGCCACCTGTGCAATAAGTATATCTGTGAAATTTCCTTGCTACTAAATAATCCATGGTCAGCTGTTTGTAGTATTATAACAAAGTGGAAGCAACTGGTAACAACAGCAACACAGCCATGAAGTGGTAGGCCACATAAAATTACAGAGTGGGGTCAGCTCATGCTGAAGCGCTCAGTGTGCAGAAGTCGCCAACTGTCTGCAGAGTCAATAGCTAAAGACCTCCAAACTTTGTGTGGCCTTCAGGTTAGCACAACAATAGTGCGTAGGGAGCTTCATGGAATGGGTTTCCATGTCCGAGCAGCTGCATCCAAGCCTTACATCACCAAGTACAATGCAAAGCCTCGGATGCAGTTGTGTAAAGCACACCACCACTGGACTCTAGAACTGTGGAGACGTGTTCTCTGGAGTGACAAATCATGCTTCTCTGTCTGGTACTCTGATGGACGTGTCTGCGTTTGGTGGCTGCCAGGAGAATGGTACTTGCCTGACTGCATTGTGCCAAGTGTAAAGATTGGTGCAGGAGGGATTCTGATGTGGGGTTGTTTTTCAGGGGTTGGGTTTGGCCCCTTAGTTCCAGTGAAGTGAATGCTTAAGGCATCAGCATACCAAGAAATTTTGGACAATTGCATGCTCCCAACTTTGTGGGAACAGTTTGGGGATGGCCCCTTCCTGTTCCAACATGACTGTGCACCAGTGCACAAAGTAAGATCCATAAAGACATGGATAAGCGAGTTTGGGGTTGAGGAACTTGACTGGCCTGCACAGAGTCCTGACCCCAACCCGATAGAACACCTTTGGGATAAATAAGAGCAGAGACTGCGACCAGGCCTTCTTGTCTAACATCAGTGCCTGACCTCGCAAATGCGCTTCTGGAAGAATGGTCAAACATTCCCATAGACACACTTCTAAACCATGTGGACAGACTTCCCAGAAGAGTTGAAGCTGTTATAGCTGCAATGGGTGGGTCAACTAAATATTGAACCCTACGGACTAAGACTGGGATGCCATTAAAGGTACACCTCACCTTTGCAACGCCATACAGTTTTGAAGCCATCAGTTTCAAAAACATTTATCTTGGTCTCATTACTCCAAAGTACAGAGTCCCAGTACTCTTCTTTTTCAGCATGGTCCCTGGAAAATTCTAGGTGGGCTTTTTTGTGCATAGGCTTTAGGAGAGGCTTCCTTCGTGGACGACACTCATGCATGCCATTCCTCTGCAGTGTATGCCATATTGTGTCACAGGAAACAATCACCCCAGTTTGGCTTTCTACTTCCTTAGCTAACTGCAGTGAACTTGCATGGCGATTTTCTTCAACCCTTCTCATTAGAAGATGCTCCTGTTGAGGTGTTAACGTCCGTGGATGGCCTAGACATCTCTGTGTGATGGTTGCAGTTTCATCATTGTTAAATTTTTGTATCACTTTTGTTACAGTATTCTGATTAATAAGTGAAGTTTTGCTGATCATCTTGTAGCCTTAACCACCTTTTCTTGTGTAAATAAGTTATTTTCTTTCTTAGGCCTTGTGACCAGGGGTGGACTGACCATTCAAACTCGGGCACTGCCCGAGGGCCCAGGGTCAGTAGGGGGCCCATAAAATGCCCCTGGTACCTTTTTTATATAGCTTTTTTGGCTGTGCTTTGAGTGTGGGCAAGGACACAGGGGCCCCATGATCCCTTATTGCCTGGGGGCCCCATGAGTTGTCAGTCAGCTCCTGCTTGTGACATTTCTCTTCCATGTGGTGCCATTACTGACAGCATGAAATGTGAAGGGGTTTTCTTTGTTAAGTAATGCCCTTTTATAATCAGCTGTCTGTTGGACAACTGTTTAATGAATAATTAGACTCACCTGTAGTTGAATTCTTTTTAATCAGGATTTTGTTGTCTAAAATTGAGTTTTGCTCCTAAGACTTTCTTTGGGGTGTATTCATTTTTGCAACATAGTCTTGAATTAATTTGTTAGGAAAAATACTTTTTTTTCGTGTGCAAATTAACAAATCTTGTTTGCAATCAATGGCCCGCATTTGTGGCAGTATTTTGTAGTATAGTGTCCCATTGAAAGTAAAGGTTTTCTGGCAAATCTGTTGGGGTGTACTCATTTATGTTGAGCACTGTATATGTAGATCTTTATTGCTGGGTGTATACATATTTGTAGGTTATATTTGCACATTTGTCTGTCACTTTGAGAAAGGAAAACACATGTGTCTCTGAAACATCATTGTTTATTTGTCCTTTTTTGTTTGTGTGCTATTACTGCTGCAATTATAACCTCAGTAAACACTGAGATCTAAAGTTTTAGGTGTGCTGGATTTTATGATGTAAGCAATCAAAACATGGCATGGTTTTTAACTGCCCCTACTCTATCCAAAACAAGGCAAAAAAAAAGATTTGGCTTAAAATACAGTTTAAACAGATGAGAAACCAGCATATACAGGGCTATATAAGATGACTTACCACTCTGAAGAACAGAGGTTCATTACACAGGTGCTTTCCAAGTATTGAAAACAACTGTGGATGTCCACGGCAGCCATAAGCATAATAAGCACCAATTAGGCAGCTTTAAAATGACTGTGTTTACCCGCTCATTAGACATTTACTGGTGTGGGTACAAACATGGTTGACGGCAAGGGAATGGTCCAGGAAGACAGAGAAAGAGGTGCCTTAGCAATGGTGAAACGATTGTAATGTATAGGAGAAGAAATGAGCCTTTTATCTAGCAGCACTGCTATTCAGTGCTCTGCCAGACAGCTATGAAACACTTGTCACAGCCCTTGATGCTCATCCAGATGACGAGTCTACACTGGAATATGTTAAGAGCAAGCTTGTGGATGAATATAAGCGTAAAAGAGAAAGCGCAAACAATGGCAGTGCCCTGGAGCAGAATTTGTAAAACACTAGCAATTGGTGGAAAAACAGCAATAGACTGCATGTTTAATGTTCAAAAGGGCAGGGTTATTTAATGGAAAACCTGTCATGAGAAAAACAACATATCAGCTGCCATTGCTAATCTTTACTGAAAATGGTAGGTGGCTGGTGTTGTGCTGACTCTTCTGCCTTCTAATACTTTTTACATTGCTGACCTGGAGCAAGATGCAGATCAGGACATCTGACTTTCCGAATCTGCATACTTGTCATGTCTTCCAGTTCCAATAAGGCTAGAGGGTAAGCACAACAAACAGGTAACAGCATTTAAAGAAGGAAGATGATAATGGTCACTACCATAATTCCTCCCTATAAAAGTTTACTTTAATGGTATTTATTTTACAATTTTAGTGTATCCAAACCCAAGAACAAAAATGTAATATAGCCACATAAAGACCAAGCCTTTTCTGACATGTTTATGCACTAGAAAATTACTTAAAACTCCAAAACATGTGTTTTTTAAAGCAGAGGCCCTAGAGTGGGTATCTCTAAATGGCGGACCACGGTCTGGATCCGGCTCCAGTTGCTGTCCTATCCGGACCACCGCGATCACACCATTTAGTAGCCAACTTCCTCCCAAGCTTCTGCCACTGTCATTCTCAGAGGATCAGAAGGCTATACAGTTGGGAACAGTGGGCGGGAGCTGGAACTGTAGTATGTAACTTTTCAACTTAACCAGCAGGTGACTGGTTGCTAGGACACAGGGTGGTCCTAGCAACCAATCATCAGCTCTCCTGGCTCTCATCCTACCTGTCACAACGCTCTTTCAGCGTTACCTATAATGCCACCACCTCCTTCTCACTCCCCCTCTCTGTTGGGGTCCCTCAAGGCTCTGTCCTTGGGCCCCTTCTCTTCTCCATCTACACCTCCTCCCTTGGCCAACTCATACACTCTCACGGCTTCAACTACCACCTCTATGCCGACGACACACAAATCTATCTCTCAACCCCCCACCTCACCCCCTCGGTCTCTGCCCGAATCACACACCTGTTGAGCGACATATCAGACTGGATGTCGCTCCACTTCCTTAAACTGAACCTCTCCAAAACCGAGTTTCTTGTCTTCCCTCCAGCCCGGACACCACCCCCCATTGACTTCTCCATCATGTCCAACAACGCCACCATCAAACCCGCCCCGCAGGCCAGAGTACTTGGTGTCATTTTGGACTCCAACCTATCCTTCCAGCCCCAAGTCCACTCTTTAACAAACTCGTGCAGACTCCACCTCCGCAACATCGCCAAAATCCGCACGTTCCTAACTCCAGAAACCACTAAACAGCTCATCCACTCCCTTAACATATCACGACTTGACTACTGCAACTCTCTCCTTACTGGCCTGCCTCGCCGCTGGCTATCCCCGCTTCAGTCCATCCTGAACACGGCTGCCAGACTCATTCACCTTTCCAACCGCTCCGTTTCCGCCACCCCCCTCTGCCAATCCCTCCACTGGCTTCCGATTGCGCAACGGATCAAATTCAAAATCCTAACGCTGACGTACAAAGCCGTCCACCATACTGCCCCGAACTACATCACTGACCTAATATCCAAGTACCGCCCAGCACGCACACTCCGCTCCTCACAAGACCTCCTTCTCTCTAGTTCCCTGGTCTCCTCCTCCCATGCCCGCCTCCAGGACTTCTCCAGGGTGTCACCCATCCTCTGGAACTCCCTGCCCCAACCCATCAGATTATCACCTACTCTCCTCTCCTTTAGGCGCACCCTGAAAACCCATCTCTTCAGGGAAGCCTACCCCGCCCCCTGCTAACTTGCCGACCTCCTCCACTCTTCCTACCACTCCATCCCCCACAGCTATCTCCTCCTGTGCCACCATCCCCTCCCTCCTAGATTGTAAGCTCGAAAGAGCAGGGCCCTCGATCCCCTCATGTTTTGCATTGTATTGGTATTGTTCTGTCACATGTTCTGTTCCCCTCTGTAATGTACAGCGCTGAGCGAACTATTGGCGCTTTATAAATACTGTATAATAATAATAATAATAATAATCAGCTTGTTAACAAGAAAAGTTAACTCTGGCCGCTCCCACTCGCTGTTCAGAACTGTGCAGCCTTCCACTCCTTGCTTTGCTGAGAATGACAGCATCAGAAACTTGGGGAAAAAGCCAGGTTCTGCTCTCAGTTCAGAACTGTACAGACTCCCACTCTCCTCTGTGTGCCCATGTAAGTAGAAGAGAAAAGGGGCAGAGGTGATCGCTGTGGTGGCAGTGATGTGAAGGGGGGGGGGGGGGGGGGGGCAGTGGACCAGAGAACACCACTGTAGGGGCAGTCCTGTGAAGGAGGGCTGAGATGTGAGTGATGGCAGAGGACACCGCTGTGGGGCTGGTAATGTCATGGGAGTTCTGAGATGTGAAGAGGGGGACAGAGGTCACCACTGTGGGGGGATAGTGTGAAGGGGGAACAGAGGACACCGCTGTGGGGGGAAGGGGGTAATGTGAATCAGGGAACAGAG